GATAAGTTTTGTAGTTTGATAAGTTTTGTTTTGATAAGTTTTGTTTTGATAAGTTTTGTTTTGATAAGTTTTGTTTTGGTAAGTTTAGTAGTTTGATAAGTTTTGTAGTTTGATAAGTTTTGTTTTGATAAGTTTTGTTTTGGTAAGTTTTGTAGTTTGATAAGTTTTGTAGTTTTATAAGTTTTGTTTTGATAAGTTTTGTTTTGATAAGTTTTGTTTTGATAAGTTTTGAAAAGATATGTTTTGTGGTGATAAGTTTTGAAAAGATATGTTTTGTGGTGATAAGTTTTGAAAAGATATGTTTTGTGGTTTGATAAGTTTTGAAAAGATATGTTTTGTGGTTTGATAAGTTTTGAAAAGATATGTTTTGTGGTTTGATAAGTTTTGAAAAGATAAGTTTTGAAAAGATAAGTTTTGTGGTGATAAGTTTTGAAAAGATATGTCTTGTGGTTTGATAAGTTTTGAAAAGATATGTTTTGTGGTTTGATAAGTTTTGAAAAGATAAGTTTTGAAAAGATAAGTTTTGAAAAGATAAGTTTTGTGACAATACGTTTTGTTTATGCTCCGAACAAGAGGCTTATTATTTTCGAAAAAAAGTGAGAAAAAATAGTTTATCGGAAAATTTCATCGTTTTTTTAAACTAGAAAAATAGTAAAATCTGAAAACTTTCTTCTTTTTCTCTTACTGCAAAAATGTACAAATTAAAATTCGAAATTTCTTCCTTTATATCAGACTAACTTTTAGATATTTCTCACTTTATATCAGACCAACTTTTAGATCTGCATCAAAAATTTAAAATATGAAAGGATAAACTTCAATGAATAAATACTTAATGCGTATTCAGAAATACAAAATAGAAATGGACTTTGATAGAATAGAATTCATTTGAATTCAAGTAAAAAACATCTGCTTTATTTGATCTGCTTAAAACAAAACCACCTCAAACAGATGGGCGAGGGGCTTCTCTTTTAAAGGGCTGGGAATGAAAAAATTGCCAGGGGCAGAGGGGGAGGGGCCGGTTGTGCCTAATCCTATGTACAATTAATGATGGGGAATAAATTGGTTTGTTATGTGGTTTTTGACTTTAACAGGAACCACAAACATAATGAACTTCTAACATTTCAAACCTGGAGAAATTTGCTTTTATTAAACTTTCAAATATTTTTATCCTAAGATAAAATATAAGGGAAAAACATACCGATATATTTTCTGTGAAAATGTTTAGAAAAACAGATTCGAAATTTTGAAAAGGAATTGAGTTTTTGCCACAAACTCTGATTTTATAACCCTTATATCTTTGCGACCCGATTTATAATCTTAGATATTTCAAACTATGATTTCTGTTATATCAAAAAGTCATAGTTTGAAAAATCAAAGGTTTACACCATCGGGTTGCAAAGATTTAGGAATTAGAACCCATAAAAGGTTTTTAAAAAAACTAGCCAAGTTATGTTTTATCACTGTGCCTAATACTGCATTATGATCACTCCAGATTAAATTAGTGTTCTCAGTGTACAGACTTTGGAAAGATTTGGTAAATTTTCTGAACTTGATGAAATTTCCAATAAAATGTTACCCTGGCAATATATCCATAGAGCATATGAACACCAAGACAGAGAATGGAAGGGATGGTTTGCATTACTCCGTATACCATCAGAGATACAGCGCTCGGTTCAAACTCTGCTCCTCTCTGTACCTAACATACAGAGCGTCCCATATCATATTAGATTATCTCCAAATTTTAACGCCAAAATAAACCCATAATACTCGAAAAGCCTAGCATTTTCCGCAAGAAAATTCTTTTATTAGCCTTATTTAATTTTTCAAAATAATTAATTCTTTTTAAATTTTCTGAAAAGTCCCGAAAATTGTAATAGACCGATTGACGATCTAATATGATGTGGGTCACCCTATAGTTTCAAGATAAAAACAATGTCAGATACATTTCTAATTTCTAATTTGATTAAATATGCATTTCAAAGTTTGAATTGATATATCAAATTTAGTAAAAATATTAATGAACTATAAATTGATATATCATTTGACTCAAAATGCAGTTTAAAAACTAATGATTTTAATCAAGAAATTTTAAGTTTAAAGAAAGTCCCACTTTTGAGATTTAAATCATAGAAATGTCTGAATTTTGGGGTAAAAATGGCCTAGAAATATCTTTAAAATCCGCAAAAAAAATAATATCAATTTGATTTTTACACAACAGTTTACAGGTTCATAAAATGTCAATACTTGAACATGTCCCCTCGTCTAAATATTTAAATAGATCAAAAATTTACTTCTTTTTCAGTAAGATTTAAATATTTGCATAGTTTGTATTTAGCATTGCAGATGGTGCAGATACAGAGAGAGAAGAATTTTCTTTTAAAAAGTTAAAACTTTAAAGAACCGTGTTTCAAGCATGGATGTTTCAAGAACTGTCACGCAGACATTTTGTTTTTTTGAAACAGTCTTAGAGACAGTGTAAGAAAATTGAGAGGAAATCTAAAATTTGTGTTTTGCGTAAATACTTCATTAACTAAACTTAATATTTGTGTCCCCCCCCCCCCCCCCCACGGAGGTTGCAGGAAAACTTGACAAACATTTGCATAAAGCAAATAGCTATAATTGTTTATCCTGAGCTGAAAACTTTAGAATGGTTTAAGAAATAAATTCATAATTTCATAAATATCCAGATTAAATATTGCTTGTTCTCCACATGAATTTAAACTCCAGTTTAATTATTCGACGGGATATCTGGATATTTCATTCTAAAGTTTTCAGCTAAGGAGCTGTAGTTAAGAGAAAGAGTTGGGGGAGGAGAAGGTCCGGGGGGTTAATATTTGTTCAAAAGATTTAATTTGAAAATAAATTGCGCAAAGCACGAAGAAAAATGCGAACTACTTCTTAGGGGCTTTCCTTTTCAGATGGGGGCAACATTTTTTACCTAGTTACAGTCCTGATTAAAAGTTTGCAGTCGGCAGGGGCCTCCCTGGGATTTTTGGACAAGAGGACTACAACCNAGAAAGGCCTTTTTTTGGATACAAATATTGAACACTATTTATAAAAAAAATGAAAAATCAAAGGTGAGGGGGAAACACTTAATACAGGCAAAAATTAAAATAAATCCCCCCAGTCCGCCTGCGTATAGAAATGTCTACAACTATATTTCAGAAAATGTTGAAATGATGACGTTAGCTTATTTATATTTCATCCATTTCTCCAAAAATTACTAAAATTATTTTCCTTTCCTTGAAACCATAATTTCTGATTTGAACCTGGATGGAGCTTGTTCCATTCTCTGAGATCTGTGTCTGATTACACGAGTTCTGTTCCTGGTCTGATCTGTTCATTAGTAGGGAGGATACCAGACAACACCCTATACCAGTCAGTAGGAGGTAGATCTGAACAAACAGCTGTTTAAAGGGAGTGTTGACGAAATTTCAAGTGACTCATCAATTTTAGAGGAATGTAAGATTCACAATAGTACCCTTTAAAGGTTTGTCTGATCAAGGTTGTTTGAGAGATTCATCTCTTTGAAAGTTGATAATTTTCAATTTAGGTTTCTCCTAGAAGTTGCTTGCACATTTCTGCTTCAGGAACAAAGGGAGAAAATTGTAAGAATTATAAGCACTCTTTAAGCTATAAAGAACGACGGTAATTTGGCATTATTGATCTGATATATGTTTATAGGGCACCGTCTTGAATCAGACATGTCTAACAGTTGTAGAAGGTAGAATTTAGAAACAGAAGAGCCCGTTTTCTCTATAGATGGTGGTCGTGTAGGTCATGTACTTCGGGGGAAGATAGTTTGGCCGCTAGAAGCCTCTCGTATGAATTATTATTATTATTATTATATTCACACGCAAAGATATAAATACATATATAAATGGTGTAGTTTAAATTTGTTTAAATAAATTTTTGAAAATACAGGTTTCCAAAAGAAAAGAGAAAAATATGCAAAATTATTAAATAGAAAACATTGATCATGAATCATTACATAACATATTTATCATTTCAGTTATTTTGTAATCATCCAATCCTTCAACATATAAATTATTCATTCTTGTATTTAAAATTTCTTGTAAAATCCGAACTTTCCATGCATGTTCCAATGGGACATCAAAATATTTCATTTGTTTCTTAACTAATATTTTTCTAAGATCCGAAGGATTTACAGAACAATCATTTGCAATAGAAAATAAATTTCTGCCAAGAACTGCAGTTCTTGGCAGAAATTTATGACCTCAACACATGTGTTGAGGTCATTTTTACATTTTTTAATGACCTCAACACAAATTAGAAAGAAATCTAATGCATGCTTAGAACTTGCTTCAATAGTCTCATAGAAAGTCACACATCTGCTAGCTAACATAGTTTTTACATGTAAACATTGTGAAATACTTTCAATCAAGTACCTATGCGTATCTCTAGGTACATTAAAAAGAATTCGAAATGCAGAGTTCCATGCTGTATACAATTTTGAAACACATTGGGAACTCAAGTCCCAAATACTAGATCCATAAAAACTACAACAGTAAATATTATACAGTTTCAAAATAACATCAGGACTGTTAAAATAAAATTCTTGGTTAAGGGAATGAATTTTTGAATTATCTATCAGATAAGAATTTTGCGTGAGACATCTAGCGGCCAAAGTATCGTCCCCAAAGTACGTGAACTTCACGACCACTGTTAAAACATTATTATGGAGAGAACGGGCTCAGCAAAATTACAACGAAGATGGAAATTTAATGGCTCACACCAGAGATATTTAAAATGCGGCCCATTTGTCTAGAGGGGCTTGAATCCTCACTTAAAACCATAGTTTTCAATTCACAGGGAGAGCTTAGCCCCATATTCCCATGTTTATTGTTAAGCCCTGGTCCGATTGTACATTCAAAGTTGATTGAAGTATTTACAATTTTTAATCCCTGTTCAATAAACGATTGAAAAAAATGAAATGTCTAATATATTACGAGAATAATTTAGCGTAGAAGAGCAGAGAAACACTGTTATAATTGGTTTTTTAATGTTAGAAAAGCAAACTTAATTTTCACATGTTTACTAGACAATCATTCAATCTATTAAAACTGCAAAGTGTAAATTTTAAAAAAATATTATTAATTTATTAAGTGAAAAAGAAAGACAGATATTTGATAGAAATGAATTTTGTAAAACCTGAATTCCAAGATTTATTTTCACAAACCATTTCTGGTCTACCCACCGCCTTCCAACATAGTCCTTTAACAACATTTTTGTAGAGTCCTCACATTGATTTTTGAAAAAAACTGATAACAAATGTTTTCTGTTTATGTAGTGTACATATGCATCGTGTACAGTGTACACAGTAACACTGCACAGTGTACATGTTCACAAATCTTACGTAAATTGGTTTAATAGAGGTATAAAATATAGAGCGTACACAAGGGTTTAATAAAGGTATAAAATATAGAGCGTACACAAGGGTTTAATAGAGGTATAAAATATAGAGCGTACGCAAGGGTTTAATAGAGGTATAAAATATAGAGCGCACACAAGGGTTTAATAGAGGTATAAAATATAGAGCGTACACAAGGGTTTAATAGAGGTATAAAATATAGAGCGTACACAAGGGTTTAATAGAGGTATAAAATATAGAGCGTACACAAGGGTTTAATAGAGGTATAAAATATAGAGCGTACACAAGGGTTTAATAGAGGTAAAAAATATAGAGCGTACACAAGGGTTTAATAGAGGTATAAAATATAGAGCGTACACAAGGGTTTAATAGAGGTATAAAATATAGAGCGTACACAAGGGTTCAGCCATAATTGTGTAGAAATTTAATACATTTCTTACCGCTAGTGGCGTTAGTATATATTTTACTGTTTTTTTTAGAAGAAATAATGTTGAAAGCTTACAGACGATTTATCCATTTACTCATCTCTCAACTGACACCCTGTGCTTCCCAGAAACTGCATTACAATTTGTTGACGACCAAAGATATGGGATTCCATGTGAACCTTCCTTGTCTTGTCCAATGTGCAGGGTTACGAGGGAGCGAGAATGTTCAGAATTTATTTACTCCCTTTTTCCTGATTCACAGTATAGCTGTCATATATTGTCTCTTTCTCAGTCAAATAAGTCAGTTAATTCGTTAAAAACTATTTTCAAGGCATAATCTAAATTCAACCTTTGAATAGTCATAAGTAAAGCGTTTCAGTTCATCATCAAATTCCTATACTTTGTGGGTAACCCTGTATCTATATAAAGTAGTAATCTCTGTTTGTTTGTTAGTATGTCCGATCATAACTCAGGAACCTCTTGACCGATTTGCCTTAAATTTTGATTAGAGACTCGTTAGAACCAGGGAAATGTTCTTAGTTCAGTTTAGAAATTCTAATTAAGTGGGTTAACTTTTATAGAGAAAATTTAGTTTCAAAGCTGGGTTCTCAATTGCTAGTATAATCTGTATATATGTGTGAAGTAAGAAATATGACAGATCAATCCTAGTTTGTGCAGATGCATCTGATTGTTGAGGTTTGTGTGCTGCACCATGTGTGAATAATTTATCCCAATATCACAACCATAAATACAGAAAACAGAAATATCTTTCAATATCTCCAGATTTAACTAGTTTTCATTTGAAATCCAAATTTCCCTCACCCCCCCCCCTTTAAAGTTTCCTTTTTACTGTCTGAAAATTGATTATTGTAAATTGTTGTTTCTTAATACACGTGACTTACAGATTCAAATAGCAGTGACAAGGAAGTTAACTGTAAGAATTTTAAACTTAAGCATGCAACCCTTTAAATGGGAGTCCTTTTAGATTACGTTGTTAATCAAGCATGCAACCCTTNGATAACAAAGACGATATCGAATTCGTCACTGAATTCCCATGTTTTTTGGGACACCCTGTACAACTAGTAAACTTTCAATGCCAAACAAGGGCACGATCTCATAGGCTTTAATGTCAATACGGACACAAGCTCCAAACTATCAATGCCAAACCAATGGGCATGATCTTGTCAGCTCGTTTAAATATTCTATTTCTATACTCTCTAAATATTTTTCTAACTATAGTCTATACTCTCTGAATATTAATCTATTTATATTCTTTGCTCTTTTAATATTACTCTATCTACATTCTATACTCTCTAAATATTACTATATCTATATTCTATACTCTCTAAATATTACTCTATCTACATTCTATACTCTCTAAATATTACTCTATCTACATTCTATACTCTCTAAACATTACTCTATCTATATTCGATACTCTGTGTAAATTACTCTATCTATATTCTATAATCTGTGTATATTACTCTATCTATATTCTATACTCTGGGTATATTACTCTATCTATATTCGATACTCTGTGTAAATTACTCTATCTATATTCTATAATCTGTGTATATTACTCTATCTATATTCTATACTCTGGGTATATTACTCTATCTATATTCTATACTCTGGGTATATTACTCTATCTATATTCTATACTGTATGATATTACTCTATCTATATTCTTTACTCTCTAAATATTAATCCATCTATATTCTAAACTCTGTGTATTACTCTATCTATCTTCTATACTCTCTGAATATTACTCTATCTATAGTTCTATACTCTGTGAATAAACAATGATACCTGATACTAATATAAGAACCACCATCTGTGTAAACCGTCCAGACAACAATCTTCTTTTCTCCTAGATTGTTTTTCTCACAGGTTTTGGAATATTTTAATGGTTTCTCCGGGTAGTATTCTAGATAGAAGGGAACGTGTAAGAGCTTAATTACGCTTATTCACAGATAACAAGATACAAGAAAACGGAACCATTGAAATAAGAAACAAGGTTGAGAAGGGTTAACTGAATCCATAGTTCAGAAATTGGAGAAAGAAGAACTTAATCCTTGAAAATAGAAGAAGAAAAAACTGAATTCTTGAGTTTAGGAATAAGGTTGGGAGAAGGGAGAACTGAACCCTTGAGTTTAGGAATTGGAGAAGGGAGAACTGAATCCTTGAATTCAGAAATAAGGTTGGGAGAAGTGGAGAACTGAACCAATTAGTTCAGGAATAGGAGAAGGGAGAACTGATCCCCTTACGTTCAGAAACATGGTCGAGAGAAGGGAGAATTTAACCATTGAGTTTAGGAATAAGGTTGGGTGAAGGGGAGAACTGAACCCTTGAATTCAGGAATAAGGTTAGGAGAAGGGAGAACTGGACCCTTGAGTTTAGGAATAAGGTTGGGAGAAAGGAGAACTGAATCCTTGAGTTCAGGAATAAGGTTGGGAGAAGGGAGAACTGAACCCTTGAGTTTAGGAATTGGAGAAGGGAGAACTGAATCCTTGAATTCAGAAATAAGGTTGGGAGAAGGGAGAACTGAACCCTTGAGTTCAGGAATAGGAGAAGGAAGAACTGAACCCTTGAGTTCAGGGTTGGGAGAGGGGAAAACTTAACCCGTAAGTTTATGAATAAGCGTGATAAATGTGGTAAATAAAGCCCTATATGATCTAGAATTTAGAATAGAAATAAGAAAAATGTTTTTGTAGATCGTGTCATTACTGAACCTGTCTCCCACACATAAAGGGGACTTGGAGACCCACATCATATACAAGGAACCTGGAGCTAAAGGAATATGTAAAAATTCCGAAAATAGGAGAAGATACATAATGATTAAATATTGAGTTCATCAGTATGTTTATGGAGAGTATTTTGGGAAACGTTTAGCAACAGATTTGGAATATTTCAAGATAGAATTATTGGGATTTAATCTTTAATTTTTATTTACGATCTTGTTCAAAGAAACTGAGTTTTTGCTACAAATTCTGATTTTTAAATCCCTACATCTTTGTGACAAAATGTCGTAGATCTTTGATATTTCAAACTATGAGTTATGTTAATTCAAATAATCAATTTAAAATAACACAGCTAGGTTTACACCATCAGGTTGCAAAAATATAAGGATTAGAAAAGTTGAGTTCGCGACAAAAACTCAATTATTTTAGCTTCGAAAAAAATTTTATTTTCCTTTTTCAAAATTTCAAAAGACAGGATGAAGTTGGGCAATCTAAAGGGAAAATAACTTGTTTGTTTTCCAATGATTTTGTTTAATTTTTTATTTTATTAGTTCGTGTCAGCATCAGTGGAAACATCTAGAATCAGATTCAACGGGACGGATTGGATAGGACAGGACGGATATCTCCGGAGAAAATCTTAGAACCGCTCCGGGAAAGGGTTGGGATGGATCGGAGGTTCGGATACTCCAGTTAGAAACTTATTCTTGTTTGAGACCAGGATCCGGGGTAAGATATAGAAAACCTAGATCAGGGTACAAAGTTAGCACAGAAATTGAGTCTTTGCCACAAACTCGAATTTCCTTATCCCTATATTTTTGCAACCTGTGCTGCAAACCTTTGACATTTAAAATCTAGACTATTTGATCTAACATAATTCAGACTTTGAAATATCAAAAAGTTGTAATTGAAAAATTAGAGTTTGTGGCAAAAACTCATTTTCTTTGTGAATGGAAAAGTATGCAATTGCTGAAAATTGGCTGAGATGTTAAAATCTTCTGAATCTAAACAAAAGTTTTTAATACAGTTTTTTGCTTTAAATGTTATCTGAATTAGAAATGGACTCATTGTTAGGTTAGAACCGAATTTTTTATGCTCTATGTTTATATTTTGTTTGTCTGTAGGTTTGTATCATATACTTGTCAAAACGGCTGAACCGATTAGGCCAAACGTTTTTTGTCCCAGGAAAGGTTAAAGGCCGAACGGCATTGAAAATCTTGACTTAGAAAAATGTATATTTCTTAATTTTTTAAAGGGTCATCATATAAACATAAAAACCCGCGAAATTTTTAGTTTTATGATGTAGAAAAAATGGCTGCTTGAAAAGCTAAATTTAAAATTTAATATTAGCACTAGAATAAGTATAATAGCCTTATTTTTTCTAGTTTGCCATTTTTGAGGTAACACATCGTCGAGTTGTTCGAGAATTTTCAGTATCAGTGATACCTCGAACAATGATATACTTTTTTTAGCCATTGAATAAAGAAGATTATAAATATTTTAATTTAAAGTTACTTCTTAAAATTCTTTCCAGAAGCATAGACAGAGCCAAGGGGCTCCGTCCAAACCATGAATCAATGAATTCTAAGGTTTCCGGTTTTTTTAGGTTCCTAAAGGTGCTGAGCCCCCCCCCCCCTAATTAATTTCCTTTCTTAGATTAGTATAATACGACAAAACATAGAACCAGAAGTCTGTAATGATAAAATTCTAAATGCAAGAGCTTAAATGCAACGGGGAAACCCTGGGATAAAGTTTGATTTTGCAAAATTAAACTTTTATTTAGTTTTATTTAGTTTAATCCTAACTCCGATCAACGTTAACTATGATAGAGTCAACGCCAGAGAAACTAACAGATTGAAGAAAACATGAAAAAGATGGCATTTGAGATGTTCTTATACATTTTGCTTATTCCCGCGAGCATATCCTATCGTACCTAATATGATTGTAAACGCAATTTCAAGTGTCCTTCAACAGGGGGGGGGGCATGACCTTTGCACCCCCTGATATTTCAGAGTCTAGCTTCTCAATAGCACTTAAGGGAAAGAAAACCTAGTGCAAAACAGGAAAGTCAAAAATAACGTAAACGTAATATCAAGTGTCCTTTCCTTGGTAATGTCGGATTCACAACAGTGCCATGAAAAGCTTTGTCTGATTAAGTTAAATTATTTAGATATAAATTTTTAAAATGTTGAAAACTGATTATATTCGATTTTGCATTCTCTACAAAAATGATTTGCAAAGGAATTGAGTCTTTTACACAAACTGAAATTTTTAAACCTCTATATATCTTTTCAACCTAATAGCGTAATCATTTGATATTTCAAACTTAGACTATTTGATCTAACAGAATGCATAGTTTGAAATATCTAAGGTCTACGACATTTGGTTGAGAAGGTATAAAAATTAGAAAATAAGATGTTGTTACAAAAACTCATTTCCTTTCTACTGCAGGATTACCTATGGGAATTTCCATAATTAACCTAAAAACGACAATATTTTTCTCATTTTTTTATCAGATAAAGGTTTCAAGGATATCGTTGTGAATCCCATCTTTGCATGGAGGGTTGCTTATAAGTAAATAATATTAGTAATACAGTTAAACCTTAAATATTAAATACATCGTAAGAATTTATGAAATATCGTCTTGACAATTTTTCAATGGGTTTTATACTTAAATATATATTTACGTAAATATCAAAAATAAATAAATGGCCATGAATATGCAGGAACAGTTTTATAGAGCTCCATGAAATCATTTTATTAAAAAACTTAATATCTGCAACATTCCATGAGTATCAGAAAGTGAAGAATACGACATTTGATAAATTCTTTCAATGTATTTAATATTAAAAATAATTTTCCAGTTATTGTATTTTATTTGTTCTTTTTTCCCAATATTTAAAAAAATTTAAATTTGTTGAGGAAACATTGTCCATAAACTATCCTTGCATTGGGGTAATTTCAATTCCCACAACAAATTTTGTCGAATCAGATCAGTCACAGTCGCCTTAATCAAATCAGAGCTGAAAACTTTAGAATGTGATATCCTTAATCCCGATCTGTTAATTAATCTGGAGATAAAATTCATGAGGAAAACAAGCAATATTTAATCTGGAGATTAAGAAAAAGAGTGAATCAAGCATTAATCCCGATATCCACCATTCTAAAGTTCCCAGCTCCGGACAAATAAATGATGCTTTACCTGCGACCATTTTTTCTTTATATATTAAAAGCTAATAACAACAAAAATAATTTCGCCCATTTCCTTGTTATTTTTACTTCTCCGTTTTGGCAAAAAAAACCTTCCCCTACCCTAATTGTAAAAGTTCTTTTAGTTATCTACATAAAACAAGACAATGATATATATATTCGTATAGCCGTCCAAGCTGGACTGATTGGGCTGAATTTTATTTTGGACACTCATTGGTGGCCGGGGGATGTTACAGACTAAAAAAATCGTAGTTTTTTTTTCAAAGATGTTCTCTTTTTTCCACGGGCAACGCCAGGCCTTTCAGTCAGTATTTAAATAAATTAAAGCTTGTGATATGTACTTGAAATGTCGATTTACAAGCATGATATTGCTGTTAGGTAGATATGCAGTTTTTTCTCGTAAATAGAATAGAATGATCAGAAATGTATGAAAATTGTTTTTAGATGATTTAAACATTAAAGAATGGTTTATATCCCATGGATGGGATTAAGTGGGAATGAAAACCTAATAAATTCTATTTCTCCAGATATTGAAATGGAATAAAATTCACGATGAGAAAACAGAATGAAATACTGGATTGAAAATGGCATTATAGCACTTTGATGAGAACCACTATTTATTTTGTAGCAGTTTGGCGGGAAAATTTTTTTATGATTTTTTTGGCGGAAAAATCTTGTTTTGATTTTTTTTGTAGAAAAAAATGTTGGCAAGGGAAATACTATATTTATAATACCATAATGCACCCATGCGGTGAGCGTATTTAGGAATTTGTCCAGGGGGGCTTAAGTTTTATTTTTTTTCCATGGGGGGCTCAGCACCCGTTGGGGCCTGAAAACTCTTCTGCTCCATATCATAGACAAAGATAGACACTCAGCCAACTCATCTCGATTTCAAGAGAAAATGGGGTTCATACAGTACACACACACTGCGGGGTCTGCAGGGGTTTGTTTTAAACTTTGATTCTGGCATATATTTAGAACATATATTTAGTAAGCATTTTGCCGACGTACACATCAATATTAAATGATCTAAGAGGTGTTAACAAAATGTTAACAAAAAATAAGAAAGTAAACAAAGGAAGCACTGGAAAAATAACTTGTTTTTGAGAATACGTGGACAAACAACCACAGTTTTCTAAAATTGTACAGTTTTGCCCAGAGCCTAAAACTTAAGACAGAGCTTATCGTTATGAAAACCAGTTTTAGAACCCGGGTTCCTGAATGGGGTTATGCAGTTTTGTGAATATAGACTTTTGTCAGGAAATTTTATTATATTTAGTTTCTTTACATTCTCCAATTTTTTCGAATCTTTTAAATCAAAATCTACACAAAAGTTAAGACGCCAAAAAGCAAGGTTTTAATGCAAGGAATGTTAATTGCGGTCGTGTTTACTCTGCGTACACATTGAAACCAGTTCTCTCTGGGCGGAATTTGTAAACAAGAATAGATGCATCAGTGTTCGTCTGGTATCCGCGGAGGTTAAAAGCATTAAATTTTGATAATTTTGAGAATTCACATTATAGTTTCCTATGACCAGAATATTTCATTGATTATTTTTGTGAAAATGGATTCCATGTCAGGCTGTGACATCCGTCTTGTGTTTACTTTTCCGCCCAAAGACAGTACACTGCAGTACAAAAAATGCGTACACATCTGAAATAAATTTAGTTGCATTAGTACCTTGCCAAAAAGGAATCTTGGGAGTTTCGTTCAAAGATACTCTTTTAAATTTCGGACTCTGGTTGCCTGCTGTCCTCAGTACACTGAACCTTTATCAATATCTACTCTGTTCTTCATATGTATAGGATGTATTTATGTATGTTTATAGAGAATAGAATTAAATATACATTTATAAACCTCAGGGGAAACCTAGATTACTAAAGTGGATTTTTATGCATAAAATATTCAATATAATCATATTTTTTTTGTATCCCCCCTATCCGTAATAGATTCAAGTCCCCCCCCCCCATTTCCTGATGATTGAAGTTGCTCCAAATCCCTGAATACTATGTTTGATATTAGATTTATCGAAAAGAAACCCCTTAAAAATCTATCCTGGAATTCCTGGGTACGTGCAGGCGGGTCGGTTCTGGGTCAATAACATTAAACAAATTCCAGAGCTATGATGGAGACGGGAATAATGTTTATTATCTTCACATTGTTGATTAAAGAGTAGTTAAAACTCAGTGACGAAAGTTTAAAACAATTAAGAGAACATGGAAAAAACTAGAGAATGTTTTAGATTTGGTCAGAAACTGGTTTAGTTCAATACATCACAGTTAAATATGTACACAAACACTAGATCTCTTACTTTTACTATACATACAGTGATAACCAGAGCATTGTGGAATAGGAAGACGACTTTTAGACTAAAGTAACGATTCAAAATAGTCCTACAAACATGAGATGCGATAGTTGTGCAGTTTGCACAGACTGTACTGTACAGTTGTGCAGTTTGCACAGACTATTTTACTTAAAATAATTTGCAAGCTATTAGTTTAACTATTTGCTTTGTAACCTCCAGCAAATATACTTAAAAATTGGATTTATTGTCGTCTTTCTATTCCATAGATGCGTGGTTCTTACCGTAATGACTTTGTAATTCCAAATAAATATTTCGCGTCAAAACAAAGTAAATTCCATGTTAAATTTGATATGTTTTCCATCATAACTCCTTTTATTGAAGAGATATTGTAAAAAAACAATTATGTTTAAATTTCTTACATGTAATCTTCTCATACTAGAGAAGCTACTGGTGATGTCGTATAAATGTTGCAGTGGATGGGTTTATTTTCTGTTTATAAATATGGTTTAGTAAATACATGAATGATTGAGCTGCGGGAAGGAGAAGTTTTATTTTAAACTTTGTTCAGTTTTTCAATATAGATAAATTGTGGTTAAACTGGAGGGGGGGGGGGGGGGCAATATTCTACCTCATTTTTCCTGGTCAAAACATAAGCCTCAAATCTACACAAGGGAAATGTAGAAATTGCAGAACTTTTAACTTTTTTTAAACAACAAAATTGGGTTATATATGATTGAATTATGAATCAAAATGTCTATCAAACTTTTTTCAAAATGGCCGGTTTGATATACAAATTTTTTAAACAAATATTTCATTATTTATCTCATGTTTTATGGATCTCATTGCATATACAGAGAAAGTAAAATAATTTGACTGGTACATACAATATTTATCTACATTATAGGTTAGATCCATGGGGATTCCAATATCTATTGTTTACTCCCTAGCATCAATCCTTAACTCATTGTTTACTCCGGGTACGTTTGTATACTGGATACTGATGTGTACTCTACCATGATAAACTCATCCGTCCCAGATATTCCGATATTATACAATTCATTACAGATCCAAGTATACAATACCATATCCTATACAAACAAAAAGATTACAACTTTTACTTTTTACTAAAAAATATTTTGTGTTTTAATTACAAATAAAACCCCCTTTTTTATTTAGAAAATTGAAAATATTGCAGTGAGAACCAGAAAACTCTGCAAAAGAAAATCCAGATATAACTTTAAATAGTCCAATAAACACGAGATACATAAAAAGTGCAGTGTAAACAGACCCATTTCACATAGTAAGTGATTTTATAGCTTACTATTTAAGCTTTTTGCTTTTTGTGTCAACTTCAAATGCACTTCAGAATTGTATTAATGTCGTCTTCCTATTCTACAGTTTTCTGGTAATCAATGTATTTCTACAGAACTGTAATTAACTTGCTTTAGATTTTAAGCGTTTAAATATGATAATTTTCTCTATAACTTCTAAAGCAGAAATGCGCAAGCTACTTTAAAGAGAAACCACAACTAAAATTAATAATTTGCAAAAATTACGTCTACGGTTTCTTTAAATACGGGATACATTCCCTTTAAATACGGAATACAGTCTCTTTAAATACGGGATACAGTCTCTTTAAATACGGGATACAGTCTCTTTAAATACGGGATACAGTCTCTTTAAATACGGGATACAGTCTCTTTAGATACGGGATACAGTCTTTTTAAATACGGGATACAATCTCTTTAAATACAGTCTTTTTAAATACGGGATACAGTCTTTTTAAATACGGGATACAGTCTTTTTAAATACCCCGTACATTCCCAGGATCTAGAAAAATATCTAGGAGAATAGAACAAATTTCTTTTTGGTTAACATTTGAAAATACGATTTAAAATGTGAATTGATTGCCAAAAAAAATGAAGTAATTTCGATGAAAACGTCATTTGTTTAAAAATTTTATAGTCTCAATCAAAACTTAAAGCTGAGGTTTTGATTTTGGCGCCAAAACGTAAATGGCGGATTTTCTTTTTTCTTATATTTACAGATTCAGCGGAAGTTTAGTTAAATTTACTGGAATCTGTTGTTGAAAGGCTTAATATATATTTACATAAATATATATATATGCTGTCTGATATATGAGAGGTAAGGTTGAATAGGCCGGGTATATAAAATATATATATATATAGATATATTTATCTTGGAAAAATATTGTACAGTAAAAATTTCATAAAAGGTTCTATCTATCATGTTTTTACTGTACAAGGTCTACACTCGACACATTCAATGGATAGATATTCATTTTTAACTTCTAAAGGTTAAGGGGTGTTTAGAATAGATTTTACATAGTGAGTAGGATGCAGTAAAATTTGTCTGAAACATGCATAATTTATAATTCGGTTCCCTACCAGATATTTTCATTAAGTTTATTTTTCATTTCATTTTTGATTTAAGGATGTCAAATTTGCCGTTTTATAATTCAAAATATTTCATCATGAATTCTGATTTGAAAACCGTTATGAAAAAAATCGTTAATAAAAACCTGAAAAAAAACTGAACAACAATTAAACACCGTTTAACAGCAATACATCATATACTTGTGTAGAGATCATATTGTTTTTATTAATCAGAATTCTTAGACTCAAAATATTTTTATTTGATTTTGATATTTAACTTAGATGGCTGCTCTACTCTCCAGCAAGGTGAAGATGGGAGTAGCTGCAGGAGCAGGAGCTATTCTCCTAGTCCTTGCTCTACTTGGAGGAGTCGTTGGTTGGATCCATACTGGAGAAGATACAACTCCACCACAGGTAGAATATCCCCAAGGAGCAATTCTCCATTGATATTCCAAATATCCTCTGGTAACAGTAATAGCAAATGGTAGAGCTGTACTTTGAAAAAAAGTATCAGAAAAATATTATTTTAAGTTCTATGCTAAATTTTATATTCTTTAACTCATACAATGAAAACAAAAGAAGTCATTCTGAATCTAATTGTCCTTCTAAAGTGAACTGCAGTGTAAAGTTATCCTGCATAATCCTGAACCTGAACCCTAACAGAGATTTGCAGAGACAGGACGGGGTTCTCCGTTCAGAAATGAGGATACATTACACCTGGAGAAGGTTTAGAATACACTACACCTGGAGAAGGTTTAGAATACATTACACCTGGAAAAGGTTTAGAATACATTAATCCTGGAAAAGGTTTAGAATACATTAGTCCTGGAGAAGGTTTAGAATACATTACACCTGGAAAAGGTTTAGAATACATTAGTCCTGGAGAAGGTTTAGAATACATCTATCATGGAGAAGGTTTAGAGTTCATTAATCCTGGAGAAGGTTTAGAATACATTTATCCTGGAGAAGGTTTAGAATATATTAACCCTAGAGAAGGTTTAGAATACATTAATCCTGGAGAAGGTTCAGAATACATTGATCCTGGAGAAGGTTTAGAATATATTAACCCTAGAGAAGGTTTAGAATACATTAATCCTGGAGAAGGTTTGGAATATATTAATCCTGAAGAAGGTTTAGAATTCATTAATCCTGGAGAAGGTTCAGGATGGGACCCGGAGAAGAGAACACAACAAACCTAAACCTTCACTTACAACTTATTTGAAACTTCTCTTCTTCCTCTCATAGAATCATTTACAGTTACAGGATTTAGAATCTGCTTTTTACTCTTTCTCTCAAACTGTCCTATCATAAAGCATTTCTTATTCGTTTCCCTTATGTGCATTTGACAGCCCAAATTTTTATTTTGAATAATCTTTTTTGTTTCTTTATTTTCTTGTGATTTTTAACAAAAAAATAATTAAAATTTTTTTTACCGATTTTGATGGTTATTATATCGTGAGAACTGACGAGGGTCAACCCAGACCGAAATATATTTTCAATAAATGTGGAACTAACATCTACTTTTTACTCTACAGAGGTTTGGTCCATCACCATCACAGAAAATTTAAACTTATTCTTTCCTTTCCCTTTTTTCTCTTTTCTATTCTTTATTCAGTCAATTTTTATCTAGAATTTGCTGATTTATTTTGGAAAACAAGAATATCCGTCCTTCCTCCTCTTTTATCTCACATCTAGTAACAATTCTTTCTCCTTTCCTCATCTCTTTTTTCTTTTCTTTTCTGTATTCATAATTTCTTCTATAAACAACTTTCCAAAGGATTTTGAGGACAACATAAACCTGAAAAACCAGAATTCCCATCCTTTTTTCTATCTCATCTCACATTTAAACACAATATTTTCTAATCTGTTATTCTATCTATAATTTACTTTTTTCATTCCTTTTTATATTCAATATTTCTTCTCTTTCTAGAACTTTCTGTAGGATTTTGAGGACAACATAAACCTGAAAACCCAAATATAAGTCCTTTCTTCTCTTTTTTCTCAGATCTCTTTGTTATCTCCTTTCCTTCTCTTTTTTCTTTTCTTTTCTTTTTTGTTTTCATAATTTCTTGTATCTAGAATTTCCTGAAGGATTCTGAAGAGAATATAAACCTAAGAAGCCAGAATAAGCTGAAAACCAAGAAGATAGAGTTCGATCGAAATAATGAAAACCGGATAATTCCAGATACAGGCGGTAAATAACATCATAGCATTATTTTCAAGTATTTCTCTTTTTAGAGAGAAATTTATCAATTATTTAATAACCTTCATGTTTACAGTAGCGGGATGTATATTCCCTTTAGTAACCTTCATGTTTACAGGAGTGGGATGTATAGTCCCATTAATAACCTTTATGTTTACAGGAGCGGGATGTATTTTCCCTTTAATAACCTTCATATTTACAGGAGCGGGATGTGTATTCCCTTTAATAACCTTTATGTTTACAGGAGCGGGATGTATAGTACCATTAATAACCTTTATGTTTACAGGAGAGGGATGTATATTCCCTTTAATAACCTTCATGTTTACAGGAGCGGGATGTATAGTCCCATTAATAACCTTTATGTTTACAGGAGCGGGATGTATAGTCCCATTAATAACCTTTATGTTTACAGGAGAGGGATGTATAGTCCCTTTAATAACCTTTATGTTTACAGGAGCGGGATGGCCTGGTACTGGAACTCACTACTATAAAGGAGACAAGGGAGACAGGGGACTCAGGGTTAGTTAGTTTTTTTCTTTAGAATTTAAGATTTAAAAAAAAATGTTTTTTTTATTTAATTATTTTAATCTTGTCAGGGCCCCCCTGGTATGACAGTCCGTGGACCACCTGGTCCATCTGGTCCTCCAGGACAAGGATGGTTGGACCAGTCCTACTCCGGGTCCGGTCCTTCTACTTGTGGTTGTAACGAGTCCTTGCTCAGGCTATTTGTAAAGGATGTAAATCCGAAACTGATTCCTGGTCCTGTCGGAGCTCCTGGTCCATCCGGACCAGAGGGACCTTCAGGGCTTCCGGTATATATCATTTATACTTCAACCTTCATCCTTCATCAATTTCCTTATCCTTCATCATATATCATATGGCCTTTATCTTATATCTTTATCCTGCATCAAATATCCTTATCCTTCATCATGTATCCCTTATCCTGTATCAAATATCCTTATCCTTCATCATATATCCCTTATCCTGCATCAAATATCCTTATCCTTCATCATATATCCCTTATCCTTCATCAAATATCCTTATCCTTCATCATATATCCTTATCTTTAATCAAATATCATTTAAACTTCATCATATATCCTTATCCTTCATCAAATATTCTTTATCCTTCATCATATATCATTTATCCTTCATCTTTTATCCTTTATCCTTCATCATATATTTTTATCATTCATCTATATCCTTTATCCTGCGTCATATATCCTTTATCCTTAATCATATATACTTATCCTTTATCATTAATACTTATCCTTCATATTATATATCCTTCCTTTGTTATCCTTCATCATTCATCCTTCATTCTTTATTATTAATTCTTCATCATTCATCATAAATCCAACATCCTTTAACCTTTATCCTTTGTCCTTAGACCTTATCCATACATCCTCCATCCTACACCTTTCATAATTCATCTTTCATCCTCCTCCTGTGTCCTTTATCATATATCCTTCAGCCTTTATCCTTTATCCTTTTCCTTCTTCATATATCCTTCGTCCTTCGTCAGTCAACATTTATCGTATGTCCTTTATCCTTCATCAGGTTTCCACCATCATTTAACCTTTACACTGTATCATTCATCCTTCAATATATATATACTTTAACCTTAATCATATCATTAGTTGTTCATCCTATATCTTTTATGATTTATATGTTTATCTAGGGTTCTATAGGACCACAAGGAAATGAAGGCCCACATGGTCCCCCTGGTCCTAGAGGAGAACCTGGAGAACAAGGAGACCCTGGACCTGAAGGACTGGTTGGACCTAAAGGAGAAGCAGGACGGGATGGACTTCCTGGTCTCCCTGGTCCTCCAGGTCCTACTGCACCTCAGTCCCTCTTCACTTCCAGTAAATATACAGATGTAAGATTATTATTTTCTCTTCTCTGTCTCTAATAGATTCATGATACTTTTAATCTGCTTCCTTCTTCTCTTTGTTTTTCCTTTTTCTATCTTCTCCTCCTTCTCCTTCTTCTCTTTAGGTTTCTCCTCTTTATTCCAATTCCCCGTATATAGGTTTAAAAGATATATTCAGACGTATATTGGTTTAAGGAATATCTTCAGATGTTTATAGGTTTAAAGGATATCTTCAGACGTTTATAGGTTTAAAGGATATCTTCAGACGTATATTAGTTTAAAGAATATCTTCAGACGTATATAGGTTTAAAGGATATCTTCAGACGTATATAGGTTTAAAGTATATTTTCAGACGAATATAGGTTTAAAGGATATCTTCAGACGTATATAGGTTTAAAGGATATCTTCAGACGAATATAGGTTTAAAGGATATCTTCAGACAAATATAGGTTTAAAGGATATCTTCAGACGAATATAGGTTTAAAGGATATCTTCCGACGAATATAGGTTTAACGGATATCTTCAAACGAATATAGGTTTAAAGGATATCTTCAGACGTATATAGGTTAAAGGATATCTTCAGACGTATATAGGTTTAAAGGATATCTTCAGACGTATATAGGTTTAAAGGATATCTTCAGTCGTATATAGGTTGAAAGGATATCTTCAGACGAATATAGGTTGAAAGAATATCTTCAGTCGTATATAGGTTGAAAGGATATCTTCAGTCGTATATAGGTTGAAAGGATATCTTCAGACGAATATAGGTTGAAAGGGTACCGTTGCGATCGGTCATGTTCTTAAGCATTAAGGCCGGGGGTCACTTAAAATCAGTTCCTTTGATTCTATTTTAGTTTCCAAAAATATAGAAATATTTGAATGTATTTGAAAGAGTTAAATCCTTTAGCTTTAAAGTTTCTCCAGGTTTCTCCAGGTCTAGAGATTATTATAAACTTCAACAAAATTCCAGCTTGATAAGATATTTAGAGTATACAGAATCTTTTTGGGGCCTTTTATACAAAGGAACTGATTACATGCCTCATACTGTAATTTTTCAATTGCAAGACTTTTGAAATGTTAAAATTCTGCTAAATCAAATAGTCTGTTTAAACTCAACAGTATTGCAGATTTCTATAGCCACGGCTTTTTATTTACCTGAAATCTTATAAGGAATTTATTAGTCTTTCGTTCACAATCCCTTTAAGCTAAAAGTTGTGAAAGAACGAAAATGGCAAATGTAATGAACGAGAGGGAATTCAGGACCGCAGAGATTAAGAGTTTCTACATGGTTCTAATTACATCTTTTATTATTCTCAAGTAAACAAAGAAATAACAGTAAAAGAAACCCAAAAACTTAATGTGCTCATCATCAATGTAATTCTCTGTAAGAATGAGACTGTAATGAGGACTAAATGTCTCAATATCTGGACCTACAGGATAATTAAGCTTTTTTTGCGCATTAAATGCATATGAATGGTACAATAAAAAGATTAAAATAAAACGATTAAAGGAACTGTGCGCGAATCTTCAGGCGAACCTCCATTGCAATAATGCCAATGCCCTATTTAAAAGCTTTGTCTGATCAAGTATGTATTAGATATCGATGATTATAATTTAGAAAACTAATTATTTTCAGTTGTGGTTTGTTTAGAAAAGTTATTTGCGCAGTTTTACTGCAGGGAAACATAAGTAGGAATTGTCTGATTTAAACACTTTTCAAACAAGAAAAACGACAATATCTTCCACATTATCGTTGTCAATATCTTTGCATGACGCGTCACTTGAAATCACGCTTGTTCCATTAATAAGAAAATTATCAAGATTATTAGTCTACTTAAATACACAAACATTTGCTTTTTTACTATAATCAAGAATAAATAAAACATTTTCTGAATTTGACTTAAATTCTTGAATCCGATTCAATTCGTTGAATGACACTATTTAATCAAAATATTAATAGTCTTCAATAATGAAAATATATATGGTGTAGAGAGGAAGAAATCCCCGAACGAGGATTATGAAATCCGCAAATTAGTAGTGTCGGATCCTGGAACCAGATAAGACTTACTCGCTTTCCTCTCCTTTAACTCACTCGTCATTTATCACGTATTTATATCTATAAGCTTTTAGAGGAAGAACAAGTGTACATATGTGGTTTATTCTAAATAGTTAAATGAACATATATTAATATCCAGGAGTACATGTTCTCGTGTTTGAAGGAGGAGACTGACTGGTTCCTGGATTCCGGTTTTTCCTGTTCCCGGATTTTCCTCATGATTCTCGAGCATTCTTAAGTTTCATTTAGACTTGAATTATTGCTGCTACATAGGTCCCCCCCCCCAAGTCTCTAGATCCATTGGAGGTTGAGACTGATATGGAATCATTTGAGAAGTCATTGGAAATAGCTTGCTTTGGAAGGCTGTTCCATAGGATGAAGTTGATCTGAGTTGCTTGTTGGTTCCATTTGTATGGTATAGGAGTATCTTTTTAGCTTTTAGCTTCAGAAGTAGCTGGTTTATTAAAGGAACCAGGTTGGATATGAGCTTGAACTGGAACAGTAAAAGAACCAGGTTGGGTATAAGCTGTAACTGTCGATTTAAAACAGTCTTGAAGTCATCAGAACCATGAACCAGAACAGCATGAAGATACACAGCCAGAAATGAAGATACCCATTTCTTTCAAGTAAAATCACACAATCGTTGTCGCATTTCGCCATGCCTTCCCACCGAAATCATCATTCATCACATTTAGCAGAATCCTAATTTCTGATGTTGAATTTAGAAAACCGGTTTGGAACTTTCCAAATTCCAAACAACACAGGAGAAAAAGTGTACGCTGTGTTCTGTGCAAGTGAACATCATAAAACCGGTTTACCAGGGGCACTTTGTGTTCATTATCACAGGACTCGCAGGGGTGAAAAAACTACAGTCCCCCACTCATTAAAATTGTAAATCATTAAATATACCCCGGGCAGCCATACAAGAGAGGAAAATATCTCAAGATATTTGTAATATAAAATGTATGGGAAAAAATAACTTGATAAAAAAATATAGTTGATCATCTAATCTTCATCAATAAAATGGAATTTCCCCTATCCTTGGTAGAATTAGAGGCACAAGAAGAGATCCCTTAAATTTTGATTTTCAAAAATATTTTTTTTTTTTATTTCTCCTCCCACCCCAAGCTCATCATAGTTTTGACATAAAAAATGACCAAATCCTCTATTTAAAATTCCAAAACTCTTCTGCTCCATATCATA